GATTGAGTATGAGACTTTGAGGGATGAGTGAGGGCTCTTGACTGGTGCTGGCCATGCTTCCTACATGTGTACTTTCTGAGATTATTATGAGTTCTCACTCTTCCCTCATTTAACCTTGCCATTGCTCGAGTTAGTCAGTCTTGCTTCTTGCATTGTTGTTTTGCTTGATGGCTGAACTCTTTGATGATCCTGTCACAGTTCTCAAAACTAGAAAACTCGCAAAATATGCATGTTTGACATTCTAGAATTTTATCATCTGCATGAATCTCTGTTGTTCTGAATCAAATTAAAAGATTCATAAGACCGGGGATCGGCGAAGACCACAATTGAAGGGTCTCGCTCGAAGCCGGACGCACACAACAGGAAGGGATTTGCATTATTTAGTTCAGTTTATTTATTGCAAACCACATACAAAATTTTGCGTGACAGCCTATTGGCTTTCCGGTCGCCTGAAGTGGCTCGACTGGAAAAAGTGCGACAGCGTGTCAGCCGACACTTGATTGTCGAACGCGACCCTCGAGATTATCGAGGACCGCGTGATTATGGGTACTACATAGTATGCCATCGTTGCGACCGCTTCCGTAAGCTTGCATTGCTAGTAGATATGAGAAAGCCCTGCGTCGACTCGATTTTATACTAAGCCTTGCTCGCGACGCCTATCCGATTTCCGCGTTGGAAGGTTATGGGTTGGATACAAAAAGGGATAGGAATGTTGTCGTGTTGTTTGTTTTGTGTCGTTCGGTGTGTGTGTGTGTTGTGGTGTAACTCGTGGTGAGTGGGATGCGTCCTCGTCGACCGACGACGAGTCGCGCTTGGGACTTCAGCCCCCCAGTGCATTGGTTCGCGTGCGGGTTCGATAGAGGCGTAAGACCGCGCGTACCCCCTATGCTATATCGAACGAGAATCGCCGTCGGCTGGTCTACCTCTGCAATTGCAACTGATTAGCTTTCGTACTGTGGACTAGTAGCTCGACGGGGATACGCCCAATGAAGGGAGGTGACAGCTTCCACAGGTGGAGGTAAAGTTGTACCTTGGGTTGACCCTATCTTGTCGTAGGGGCTCGCGAGAGGTAGAGCTGGCGCACTCGGTCGGAGCGGCTTGCGGAAGCTCCATGTGTATCGTGACGAGGCAGACCAACTCATGCGTGACGCATCCGGGAGTGTCCCGCCCTGCGCGGGACTGATGCGCTCGACACCGGTTCTGTTTATCCTAAAGAAAGAGGGTGAACTGCAATTGTGCATTGATTCCCGGGGATTGAATGCTATCACGATTACGAATGTTGAACCGTTGTCGCAAATTGATGGTTTGTTAGATAGGGTGCAGGGATGTAAGTATTTCTCTAAGATTGATCTGAAGTCCGAGTACCACCAAATTGAGGTACAGCCGGAGGACCAGCACAAGACGGCCTTCAGGATTCGCTATGGACACTACGAGTTTGTAGTGATGCCTTTTGGATTGACTAATGCCCCTGCAACATTCCAAAGATGCATGAATGACTTGTTTAAAGATTGGTTGGATAAATTTGTTGTTGTTTATTTAGATGATATTCTAATTTTTAGCAAGAGTGTGGAGGAGCATCAGACTCATCTGTGTCAGATCTTTGACTAAAATGTGTGAGTCTAACTTCAAGATCAACCCAAAGAAGTGTGAGTGGGCTAAACGCCAAGTCCTGTATTTGGGACACGTGGTAGATGGAGATGTAGTCAGACCGGAGGATGCAAAGATAGCAGCAATTCGTGACTGGCCAACCTCGCACACACTGACTGAGTTGCGATTGTTCTTAGGATTAGCCAACTACTACCAGAAGTTCGTTCGTAACTTCACTTCCATTGTTGCTTCCTTGTGCAGGCTTCTGCGGAAGGAAACCATTTAGAATTGGGACAAGAACTGTACATCGGCCTTCAAGAAGTTGAAGAAGTCCCTCATTGAGTACCCGGTCCTCTAAGTAGCAGATCCATCCTTACGGTTTGTTGTAACTACCGATGCTAGCCAGTATGGCATTGGCGCTGTTCTCCAACAGAATGATGGGGAGGGGTACAAGCCCGTTGAGTTTATGTCTTGTAGGCTCCCTGGTGATAAGGTAGCAGCCTTGACTTATGAGCGTGAGCTCTTCGCCCTTCGACAGGCTCTGGACCATTGGCGGCATTACCTGCTAGGGCGACACTTTAATGTATATTCAGATCATGAGACTTTGCGTGGGTTGAAGACCCAAGCTGGGATGACTCCTAAGTTAGGTGGGTCGGGGAAATTTATCAGTTTGATTTTGAGTTGAAACCAGTCAAGGGTAAGTACAACGTCGTCGCTGATGCATCGAGCAGATGTGCAGATTTCTTTGGTGCAATTGTGGCTTACCTAGATGCTGGCGCAGATCTGCAGCAAAAGATCAAGGCTGCATATGTTGACGACCCCGTGTATAGTACGTTGATAAAGAAGGTGCAGGCCACACCTCAAGAAGTGCCCGACTTCGGAATGGCCGATGGGTTGCTGTTTGAGAAGACTGATCTGCATGATAGGCTTTGCATACCATGTAGTGAAGAGGTACGCAGTCTGATCCTAGGGGAATGCCACAATATTGAAGGCCACTTTGGTTGGCAGAAAACCTATGCTACCCTAAGATCCTACACGTGGCCAGGCATGAAGCATGATTGCATCACCTACATCCAAGGCCGCCAAGTCTGTCAGAGGAACAAGAGTTCCACGCAGCCTCCCCTTGGACTGTTGAAGCCCCTGCCTATTCCATCCGGCCCCGGTGAATCTGTATCTATCATGGTCATAGTTGACAGGTTTAGTAAGTTTGCCGTTTTTGTACCACAACCTGCTGAACAAAGTCATATCTGGTCATCAAAGAGTTCTTTAATCATTGGGTCAAGGATAACAGTCACCCGTTGAGCATAGTGAGTGACCGAGATACCCGGTTTACAGGGGAACAATGGCAGCAGTTAATGAAGGTCTACGAATCTAAGTTAGCTATGTCATGTGGACGCCACCCTGAGACAAATGGCCAGACTGAGCAGATGAACAAGGGCCTACAGCAAGTACTGCGTATGTGTATAAGACCAGACCAGGTAGATTGGGATGAACATCTTCCCAAAGTAGCTAGTGCATATAATAACTCGGTTCACCTAGCTACCTCACGGACCCCGAATGAGCTGCATAGAGGCTGGAGTCCCCGACGTCCCATAGACTGTATGAATCCGAATCAGATCCAAACACGTGAGTTTGCCATTCAGTATGAGAAGGACGTGCAACATGTGGATGAGAACATCGGGAAGGCCCAGCATCAGACGATGCAACAGGCGAACAAGCACCGCCGTGCGTCACTAGTTGCGATAGGTGATCTTGTCTGGGTCAAGTCTAAGGAGTTTATTCGTGAGGAAGGGATTTCGCAGAATTTGCTACCTGCCTACAGAAGGCCGTGGCAAGTGCTAGTTGTCAAAGGTGACGCAGATGGACTGTCATACACCATCGAGATTCCACCCCATCTGCACACCTTTTCACGCTTCTAAGCTCCTTCCCTGTGCGACTGAGGATGCATTCCCCTCACACGGATCTATGATTCCACCTTATATGGACGGAAGATATGATGTAGAGAAGATTGTAGAGAATACCTTCCGTACAGGTCGTAGAGGGAGACCGCAGAGACAATACAAGGTCAGGTTTGCTTATCAGGACCCCAACGAAGAGCGCTGGTTCACCGGGGATGAGTTAGTTCAGACAGCCCCTCATATCGTGTCATATTATGAGCCGGCATGCCGAGGATTGAACATCTGTGACTGTTGAAGTTCTGATTTTTTTCGGAGGACCTCGAAATTAGGACAGCAGGAGAGAGAGAGAGAGAGAGAGAGAGAGAGAGAGAGAGAGAGAGAGAGAGAGAGAGAGAGAGAGAGGGTTGTCCTTCGAGACATCCGTTAAAATTGGAATGATACAGAGAAGATAAGCATGGCCCCTGCGCAAAATTTAAATTAAAAAAAAAAAAAAGAAAAAAAAAAAGGACAGCAGGAGGGAATGGATTCACGCTGTAAGCTTTCCCAGTCCCGGTTCTAGGGCCCCTAATTACCACAGTCCAGGCCCCACTAGTTTACAGTCTTAGGGCCTGTTGGATCAGACCCCGTAGGTCGGTAGGCTACAGTACCGTACAGTACCCGTAGGAGCACGTCAAGTCCCCAAAGTAAAATTTTGCAGCAGCCTCACAAGAAAGTCGAGAAATTTCCCAGAAATAGCAATTGGCAAGGCAGAAGCTGAAGGAGGCCAGTACCGATTGAAGCAGGCACGAAACAGTCCACTACAAGTATATATCTTGGACTATAGTGCCGGAGGCAGTCAGTTGTTCCTTTCGCAAATTTGCGGAAGCGCCGCAGGGAGCTTGTGCAGACTAGTGACCTGAACGAAGAAGAACGCTGAAGGGAGGAAGAAGACCAGCACCGTGGCTGCAACAGACCACCATAGCCAGGAGGGAGGAGAAAGTGTTTGGCGGCCGTAACCGCCCGTTTGCAGTGAGACACACCACAGAGGCGTTCAGGGTAGATCTGGGACATTGTAGAGAGAGGAACAGTGAGCAAGGAACAGTGCAAGTGAAAGAGAGAGAGAAGTAGAGTATAGAGAGAGAGTGAGTGAGAGAGAGAAAAGGAGGAGGAGGAGGGAGTCAGGTACATACCTGAGGAGTGTTGCAGCGGTTGAAACCGCTTATTCTCAAACTTTTTCAAGCGTATATTATTGTGCTTTGAGTGGAACTTCGAATTTGCACTGTTCATGGACACCGCTCAAGCTTATGTGAATGTCCTATTGCATGTTGTATTTTGAGTTGAACCTTGAGAGGTTCATTGCAAGAGTGGGGGCATCTTTTATCATATTTTTCCATGTTTTTACGCTTGTAAACCTCTTCTTTCTTGTATTGCCAGTTGGATGGTTGTGTTTTCTTCTACTCACTTTAGAACTTTCTTAATTCATCTGATGGCAACTGCTAACGGATTCTGTTGAGAAAGGCAACGAGTCCGTATGCCCCTTGGTCTGCATCATTCATCGTCGTGGAAGTTGTTCGGAGTTCAATACTGTGGCTGCTATTAATTATTGATCTTATGATTTAATGCGGTGTTTTCCTGTTCATGTATCTACTTGCAGACCCTGCAATGCAAACTGAATTCACTGTGATTCAATCACAAGGAGTTGCCTCCTTTGAGTGTAATTGTAAGCAGCAAGATGATGAGTCGTTTCAATCAACAAGCTACCATTCTTATGGTGTAAGTGATCACTGTCTGCAGTCAATTTGCCAGATTTTTGTCGAGACTTCAGATTGTGTAAAAGAAAAACGGACAACTGTTGGTCATTAAACGACCACCACCTTTCCCAGGCAATGCCGAGAACTGAAAATGTAACATTCCAAAGACTTCTGATGAGCAGTGCTACTGGAGCAAAATGGCTGACAGCACCAGCCAAAAGGGAAAAAAAAAAAAAAAAAAAAAAGATACACTGGTGTTTCAGCAAAGCTTGGTGCGCTGGGTGAATCCGCTTCGGCAAAGAGGCTCAGAAGTTTAATCCTGAAATGATACAGTAGAAGATGAGCTTGAGTGTTGTTCGAGGGAAAATCCAACCAGCCTACAGCTCATAAACTTTGTCTGAAATTCAAATAAGGCCGACAGCATACTCAGGTTGCTACCACATGTCCCTGATTCATTTTGGCCATGTGTCAATACGCCCTCATCACCCCCCCCCCCCCTTCCCAAACAAACTCCATCCTTTGACTACATCAGTTTCCACCATCCCACTAGCTAACTGAGTGACTAGCATCTCCGGAAATACCAACACTCACGTGCTAGGAGTATGTACATTGGGTCATAGAGGATCAGCAAAATGAAAAGGTTCTGAGTATGCTGTCGGCTTTGTTTGGATTTCAGACAAAGTGTATCTATGCACTAGGAGTCCATACGTCAGGTCACAGAGGGTCAGCAAAATCCTGCTTCAAACTTTCTGCCTGCATCGCACTCAAGATCCTTGTCAAGCCAGCAAGAAAGAACTCATTTACAACTCAAAATGATGCACACAGGTTTCTAGAGCTTTGCGGCCATGGCCGCCGCCGCCAACAACAAGAAGCCGGTACGTCTCTCTCTCTCTCTCTCTCTCTCTCTCTCCCCCC